GGTACTTTGTTACAACAGAAAAGGAAAAACTGGGTCATAAAAGATAAAGTTAGTATAGCCATTTATAATCGAATAGCCTAGGGGTGCCTGGGTGGCTCAGTGGGTTAAGCGTCCAACTTTGGCTTGGGTCATGATCTCGTGGTTTGTGGGTTCGAGCCCTGCCCTGCCTCCGGCTTGTGCTGACAGCTCAGAGCCTGGAGCCTACTTCGGATTCTGTGCCTCCCTCTCTGCCCCAACCCACTCGCATTCTGTCTCTCAAAAATAAACAAACATTAAAAAAAAAAAAAAAAAAAAAAAAAAAAAAAAAAAAAAAAGTTGAGTTCCTGCTCTCTGATTCATGACTCATTTGCCGAGCCTCTCCCGCATGCTGGGCGTGCATCGTGCTGATGCGGGGGAGAGGGGGGGACACAAAGATGCAAATATACCATCTTGCTTGCCTGGGGGTAAACGCTGGCCAACAGTTGCAGTCCGGCCATGCACTGTGATGTCGGAGGCCTTTACAGAGTGCTGTGGGAGTGTAGCCGAGGGAGCATCTCAGCCAGCTGGCAAGTCAGGTGTCTTGGGCTAAGATGTGAGTCACTTTGAGGGCCTTGTAGCAAAGCAGACATCTCTGGGCGAATCTCTGGGCGAACCAGCAGATGGTGGTGTGGTGTGGGAGGGGGGCCCGCCGGGGAGCTGCTCGGAGCTCAGAAGCCGCTGCCTTTTCACCCAGGGTTGATTATGGACTCTGATCTGTGCCTCCTCCCTTCCCCAGGCTACCAGGTGACGGGGGTGTTCATGAAGAACTGGGACTCGCTAGATGAACACGGGGTTTGCACTGCCGACAGAGACTGTGAAGATGCTTACAGAGTTTGCCAGATCCTAGACATCCCGTTCCATCAAGTGTCCTACGTGAAGGAGTATTGGAATGACGTGTTCAGGTGAGTGCGGTTCAGAGACGCGGGAGGCTTCCTCGTGTGCTGTGCCACCCTTCCCAGGGAAGCCGCGCCATAGTTGGCCAGACTGGAGACACGCGGGCAGTGCTGTTTGCGTTGGTGCCAGAGGCCACGTGCGGGAGGCCTCAGCCGCCCTGGGAGCTCTCGTCAGAGGCCATGCCCAGGTCCCGGAGCAGCCTGGCTCTCCTTACCGTGCCACCTGCCAGAAGTCTCTTTAACGCCTTCGTGAACCTTGAGTCGTTTCTGCTGCTGACATAGGGGAAGGTAGCTAAGGCCGGGGTCTTGCCTGACAGGTGCCACACGGTGGTTCCCGTGCGCGTCAGGGATTGGGGGCTTCTGGGAAAAAGAATTAGGTGATCCACTCTGCCTCTTGAAAACACGAAACACATACACACACAAAGACTTTAAAAATCTAACATGGGGGTGCTTGGCTGGCTCGGCCGGAAGAGCATGCGACTTTTCATCTCGGGGTCGTGAGTTTGAGCCCCACGTTGGGTGTAGAGCTTACTTAAATAAATAAAACTTAAAAAAAAAAGATCTAATAACATTCCCAACAATGATTTTTAGGTGCTTGCTCTGTCCTGGGCCCAGTGCCGCCTCTGGGGACATAAAGATAGCACTCTCTGGCTCAGAGACTTCTGAATTCTGTCCAAGACCCACTTGGCCTTCAGGGGTCTCTTGCCATCTCCCTCGCGGGGTGCAGGCAGGGCTTCTCCCCTCCCACTGTACAGGCTCCGCTCTGGTTCTTGCTGATGCCACTGACCTGTGTTTCGTTACACCGCTTAGGGAATGGTTCCCCTGGCTTTTGTAAACCAGCATAAACGCTTAACCTCTTTAACATTCACTCGATACTTGTTACGTAGAGAATGTTCTGGGGGCTGTGGACATAAGAGAGTAAAGCATGGATTCTACCTTAACTAGTTTACGGTTTAATAAAACGCTTGACAACTTTGGGGGCGCCCGGGTGGCTCCGTCAGTTAAGCGTCTGACTCTTGATCTCAGCTCAGGTCATGAGCTCACGGTTTGTGGGTTCGAGCCCCACGTTGGGCTCTGTGCTGACAGTGCAGCGTCTGCTTGGGATTCTCTCTCTCCTCCTCTCTCTGCATCTCCTCTGCTCGTGCATGCTGTCTCTCTCTCTCTCTCTCTCCCTCTCTCTCAAAATAAACCGACATTAAAAAGGAAAACCCTCGATGACTTTCTAGCAATTAAAAGAATAGAAGTACGGAGCAACACGAGTTTTATCCGTTCCGAGCGGAGTGACAGACGGGAGGAACACAGCTCGGCATCGCCTGCTGAGGTTGGAGATGCGCATGTGACTGGGACCTTGTGCGGATTCTTAGTTTGTCTTCATAACGTGACCCTCGCGGTCAGCGTTGTTGTCTGTAACCGTCGTGGGTCAGTGAGGAGCGACACGGTCCCACCTGCCCACCGTACAACCTGTCGCGCGAGTACACACGGACGTGGTCCTCCCGAAGTGACTGCTCTAAGACACGAAGCTCTTGCCGAAATGTCTTTGTATCTGGGCAGCCGGCCGGTTAGAACAGGAGTCCAGCTGGGCTGCCACTGCCCTGGCGGCCCCCAGGGCCCCTCTGGAGCGTGTCAGCCACGTGGGAGAGGTCCTTGCTGGCACGTTTGCCCAGGGCCCTGGGTCGCCAGGCCGCTGGTGGAACAGCTAGTAGAGCCCCGGTTGTCGCTGTGGATGAGGTCGTTCCCACGCTGTCTCCGGCACGTTCTTCACTCGAGCCGCCTTTTGTGGGCGAAGTCAGGGGAGGCTGGAGTTGGGTCAGTCCCCCTCCCCTCCCCCGCGCCCCGTGAGCCTCTGGGGAGACAGAACGGCCGCTGAGCCGTAGTGGCCGGTGATACCTGACTTTCTGTCCAGGTTTATTCACTGTCATAGATTCAGACGGGAAGTGCCTCTGGCTTTAAAGGAATATTTGATGAAAATACTGGAAACGGCTGTATACTGAAGCTCTCCTATTTTACGGAAAATTATGGTTTTGGTAAGAGAAGGAGAAACCAAGTTAAGCAAGTAACTTAACAGATGTATTTTTTTTTTGAGGAATGTTTCGCACTCAGAAACAAAAGTCTTTTTCTTCTATTCCAGTGATTTTTTAAGTGAATACGAGAAAGGAAGGACTCCCAATCCTGACATAGTTTGCAACAAGCATATCAAATTCAGCTGTTTTTTCCATTATGCTGTGGATAATCTCGGTAAGTAATTTCATTATTTCCATTTAATCTTTTTAAAGTCACAAGGTTTTCAGAGATAGTCAGCAGCCAAATCCTCGTAAACAGTTTCGTCTTCCAGAAGGAAAGGAAGCGGTGAAAACAGTAATATTCTATCTCACCGAGTAAGAAAGAACTTTCTGGCAATATGCAAATGACAGGGTCGCACGGAAGAGCGTGCGCGTCTTCACCGTGGACCGCGTGGGTGCGAGGACTGTGCTGTTGGTTCGGGAGCCACGAACTTGAGAACATCCTGCGGAAACACAGGGTCACTGGCGGAGAGCTGAGAGCTGAGGTCCAGTTCTGCTCAGAACAGCACCGGTTCCAGGCGTGCTTATAGTTAGCGGAAGTTTCCCAAGCCTGAGTTAGAGCTCTGCAAAGTCGGCGTTTGGTTTCTCGCTGGTCCTCCTTTTTGCTAGTCCTGCTGAGACGTTCTCAGCGGGCTTTCTTCGTGGCTTTCTGCTCTGCCTTGAGAACAGCTCTGGGTCTGTACCTGATTCTGGATTCTGGGTCTCTGTTTCTCTGGATTTGAAGCCACGTTTCAGTGGTCTGTTGTAAAAGCCCATCGAGGGGTGCCTGGGTGGCTCAGTCAGTTGAGCGTCTGACTCTTAATTTCTGCTCAGGTCGTGATCCTGGAGTCACGGGGTCAAGCCCCACATCGGGCTCCGTGCTGAGTCTGAGCCGTTTTGGGACTCTGTCTCTCTCTCTGTCCCCCTCTGCCCCTGCCCTGCACGCACACACACGCGCCCTCTAGAAAACAAAACAACCCATCGTGGCCCTGCCACCTGTAGACGGCTGACCTGCAGATCTTGTCTACTCTGGTAGTTCTCCTCGCTCGTGTCCGTGTGCCCGTTGGGGCGCCCCTCTTCCTTCGTGTGAACTTCCCTGATGCCCACTTGCTTGCTCGGACCGTCTGCGTGTCTGCTGCTGTGACGCCCACCGTCCTGTTCCTGTGTCCTGCTGTTGCCGGAGCTCCCACTTCTGGCCCCTCGGTTCGTTCTGTCCCGGGCGGCTCACCCTGCCGTGTGCGGCCACGCGCCAAGACGTGTTATTGTGACTGTCCTGTGCCGGCAGTCCACTAGTGTCACCAGACTGCTGGCCTCTCTGTCCCGTCAGCACTGCCGTGGTGACGTAGGTGGGCCCAGAGCAGGCTCGCGGATCGAGCGTACCAGCGACCGCAGCCGAGGGGGTGGCAGAACGTGGGTTCACAGACCACGATGACGCCTGCGAAACGGACTCCAAAAGTCCGGATGACTTTGAATGGCTAACGTCAGAACTGAATGTGAGGAGAGAGAAATGCAGGCTCGACGGCCCATTCTCGTACGCTATCGGGCCCAGGTCTGGGGCCCCAGGAGCGGCCCTCGAGCCTGCGGTCTGGCGTCTGCCGTGCCCTGCCCCGGTGGGCCGCGTCTGGGAGGTTGACATTTAGCCCCAGTTTGTTCCGGGGGGGGCGTGACCGGTCCCTGGATTGTGTGTTGACTTTGGTTTTGAGCGTGTGAGGAGACCGGGCATCTGGTGGGCCGTGCGATCGCTGTGGGGTCTTAAAGGTTCTTCACAGGTTCCTAAAGCTGCACTGGAACCTTGTAGCAAGATTGTATCAGTTTAAATGAAGAGTTAAAGGTGAGCCTCCCTCCCCTGGACCGACCCCATGTGGAGGCGGCCCTCTGCAGACCATCCAGTACGAGGCTCGGCGTCCGCGTGCTTCGTTGAGCTCCCCAGGCCCGAGGAGGCCACGGCCGGCCATTGCGCGTCTGAAGTTTGATCTTGTGTTTTTAAAAACCTCACAGGAGCAGACGCGGTCGCCACAGGTCACTATGCCAGAACCTCACTGGAAGATGAGGAAGTCTTTCAGCAGAAGCGCATTAAGAGGCCAGAAGGGCTTTTCAGAGATCGATTTGAAGTTAGAAATGGTAAGTTAAAGCACCCAGGTCAGACCTTAAGTATTTGTGCACAGAGGAAAATGTTTCGGAGAGTAGCAACGGGTCGCTCTCTGAGCAGGCCCTCCAGGTCTCTGTGTTCCAGACTAGCTTGCTTGTTTTGAAAAAGTACAGTTACCAAGAGGGCTGTCTGCCCTCAGAGCCCGGGATTAGGCAGCGGGAGTCCCGGTCGGGCGCCTGGGCACCGGCTGGCTGGAACCTGAATCTGGTGTGCAGCCCGGTTCTGTGCGCTGGGTGCTGGTGATTTGAGGGTTCCCGTGATATTTGAGGAGACGCTTGATAGCTGAAGTGCTCACAGGCCTCGTTACTTACCATCAAGCTCTCGAGGGCTCGAGACTTACCCATTGTGACCCGGGTGCTGGGGCCTGATGCTCAGGCCGGTGGAAAATCCGTTCACAGAGGTCACGTATGCAGATCAGTTTATCTGCGTTAGAGGGAGCACAGTTTCACCTTTCTAGAAAAACGCCCAACTGCTGGCTTGTCCTGGCACACATCTGTTGGTAGAAAAGAGGAATTCGCGTCACCATGAAGTGAGAGACAAAATGGGCCCAGAGCCACATGCGAGTGGGAAGTTTCCACTGATGCGGGAGCACTGAAGGGTTGGCACTGTGCACGTGCGCCCCGCTGACCGCCTGCCTCACGGCACCTTCCCCCTTGCCCCAAGCCCAGGCTGTTACGGGCACACGTTCCATTGGCTCCTCTTAGAGTGGAGGTGGATAGTCTTGTCCCGTCTCACAGATGAGGAAACTGAGGCTTGGATGAAGTCATTTGGCCAGGGTGCCTCTGGTGGTAATGTGATAGGGTCCCCTCCCTAAGGAAAGAAAAAAAAAAACCTCAAGGCAAGCTGGCCACACACGTACGTGACCGCGTCTTCCCTCATGGCCTTGTAACGTGAGATCACTTAATCAGACTGCACGTTTGTGTGTTACTATATATGGAAGACAAAGAAGTAAAAAACACACAAAAAATCTACGCCACGTGGAGTTCGGGGCTCCGTTTTTTGGGTACGAACCCAACTGAGCGGCGCCGGCAGGAATAAAGCTGCTTCCTGGAAAGAAGAGCCTCGGGGTCGCGACTCTGTGCGAGGATCCCGCCGCATTACACCTGGATCCCAGCCCAGTTCTGCCCGGCTCCACAGTTTACGCTCGTCCTGCTGTGCCAGGCCCCAGTTGGGCTCTGTCCTCCGTGTCTCTGGGCCTGGTCGGAAGGCCACGGCCATCGTGCTGCAGGGGCCCCCAGGGTGCTGGCTGTTGCCCGGCGGCCCTTCTTCCTCCACGGCACAGGGCGCTCAGATCGCCTTCCCGGCCTGCGCAGGCCCAGCACATACTGCTGTCTGCCGGGTGCTGGGCCTTTGGCCTCAGGTGCGGACGTGGGGGAGAGGACAGGCGTCTTCTGCCTCCCTCCCAGCCGCTCCCCGCCACTCTTCTGGAAGCCGCTCCACGCCGGGGAAGAGCGCAGACCCCGCCACTCGGGGGCGCCACAGCAGGATCCACCGAGTAAATACGGACTGAAGGGTCCTGAGTAGATGAAGGGTTTATTTCCATGTGGAACAGGCATGCTCACTTGTCTCCTAGAACACGGTTTGCCTTCCAGAGCCGTCTGGACCTTTCTGCTAGGCCACAGGCACTCTGAAACTTGTGATTGCGTTGACCTCTGTTTTGTTGAGTAATTTTAACGTGTGGTAGTCTTAATAATATGACCGTGTCTTTGTTTTAGTGTGTTTTTTAGGCACACTAGAGCTTTTTATTGAATTCTTACTTAGTTGCCCCAGAGACCTGGAATAGAGCCTCCTGGCCTGGGCCCGGGCCCCGGGGAGAGCGCGTGCGGGGTCGGGTGGCCCCCAGAGCCGACGTTCCTGGGCCCTGGCCTTGTGTCTGGTTACCTCACCTGTGCAAAGTGGGGGCGCCGTCGGCCAGCCACGGGCGTGAGGTTCAGGGTCGTGCGAAGGTTCCTGGCACGAGCATATCTCCCAGATGTTCCTGTCCGTGCTTTAACGGTTGTCAACTTGTTTTTTTTAAATCGTAGGTTTTGAGGGGCGCCTGGGTGGCTCAGTCGGTTGAGCATCTGACTTCAGCTCAGGTCATGATCTCACAGTTCGTGAGTTCGAGCCCCGCATCAGGCTCTGTGCTGATAGCTCGGAGCCTGGAGCCTGCTTTGGATTCCGTGTCTCCCTCTCTCTCTGCCCCTCCCCCACTCATGCTCTGTCTCTCCCTTTCAAAAATAAATAAAAACATTAAAAAAAATTTTTTTTTAAATCATAGTTTTTGAGTTTGTTTTAAAAAACTCCAAACCGTGAGGATTTGCTTCCAAGGTCCTGGGGTTTTTATGTGGACGCTGTTTGACTGGGTTTTGTTTTGAAACAACAAGGAGCATTAGGCAAACGAGCGTGCCTACCGATGGCCGGGCGGCCGAACTCTGTTTTTCATTTTCAACTGATTCTGTTGCTTTGTGCCTAGAAAACTAGGGAATAGCACCCACCTGCACCTGCACCGTTCCGTTGAACCCCTTCGGTGATCCCAGCCTCGGTTTCCTCGTCTGTAAAATGGGGAGAGTCCAACTTTCCACGGCAAAAGTGAGAATCAGGGTTGAGGTCACGGGTGAACGTGACCTGCACAGAGCCCGTGTTCCACACGTGACTGTGCCAGGCTGACCGGCACACGTGTGTTTGGGCCCGTCGCACACGGCAGTGTGCCCTCAGGGTGACGGGTGGCGGCCTCTCGGCACCGTGTACTGGTAGCCTGCGTAGCTCTTCCCGTCGGTCCCTGAACCTCGGAGCGGGAGCTTGACGGTCCCAGTCGTGGAAGTGCCACCGCGTGCCGGGCCGGGTCAATGGGGCCCCGTGCTGGAGCTGGGCCGCCTCCGATGCGGGGTCCCAGGGCCACGGTCAGTCACACCTGTGCACCGTTGCCTGAGAGCCAGAGACGGTTTTCTCTCTAGTGGGGGCACCGGAGCGCCACACAGACTCCTGCGTGACTCTCAGCAGGAAGCGTTGAGCTGAGGAAGGGGAGGAGTTCGAGGCACTCTTGCTGGCCTGGGGCCTGGGGCCTGGGGGCAGCCGGGGCGCGACACTGTGGCGGTGTGGGGAACCGCACAGCTGACCCCACGTTGGGGGGTGTCTGGGGGTCCTGTCACCCACTCGCCTCCCACGTGGCTGCGTGTTTTAGACAGTTCACCTTAGCACTTCAGAACGGTTTCACGTGGCGTTTAAAATACTGTCATCTAATGTGCGAACTGGAATAAATTTCCTTATCGCATAAAATCCGCCTTCCCTGTATCTTTTTTTTTTTTTTAATGTTTATTTTTGAGAGAGACCGAGCGCGTGAGCACGAGCAGGGGAGGGGCAGAGAGAGAGGGAGACACAGAATCCGAAGCAGGCCCCAGGCTCTGAGCTGTCAGCACAGAGCCCGACGCAGGGCTCGAACTCACAGACTGTGAGATCATGACCTGAGCCGAAGTTGGACGCCTAACCGACTGCGCCACCCGGGCGCCCTGTATCGTTTTTAATGGTAGATGAATTAGGGAGAGTTTTTCTCCCCTTACCCATGGTGATTGTCTGTTGTGTTTTTTTTCTTTCTAGTAGTCTGCTTGTGAGTATAGATTTTTGCTTCTGACAGGCCAGGGGGAGTCCGAGTAGAGGGAAAGACGTTATTCAGAGCAAAGTACCATCATTTTTATTTCTGCAACTTGTTTTGTTCTTTACTCTCGGCAGCGGTAAAGCTTCTGCAAGCAGCTGACAGCTTTAAAGACCAGACCTTCTTTCTCAGCCAGGTTTCCCAAGATGCCCTGAGGAGAACCCTCTTCCCTCTGGGGGGATTAACGAAAGATTTTGTCAAGAAAATAGCTGCAGAGAACAGACTTCACCATGTGCTTCAGAAGAAAGAGGTAGGGTCGAGGGCGCTGTGCTCGCGTCACCGTCTCCGCGGTCTGGGGAGAAGCAGGGCCCTGTGGTCACCGCCCCGTGTCCTCCCTAGGCTCTAACGTCGGGAGAGAGCGGGGTCGTGCGCTCTGGGAGGCCCTGTGCACATTCAGAAGGCCGCTGAGACGGGACTTCTCCGCCCCCCCCCCCCCGACCCCTCCGCGGCCCCACTCCGGGGTGGGCGGCTTTTCACAGCAGCCGTGGCGGCTCAGTGGGTGCTCTTGGCCCAGCCTGCCGGGCAAGGGTGGCACAGTGAGGACCAGGCCCCGAGACGCCCCGGGCCAGAGCTCCGGCGCTGCCCGCACTCGTCCAGCCCCTCAGTCGAGGGCGCTGTGCTCCGGGCCTATGAGGGTGGGTGAGGAGCACACGGTGTCTTCACGAAACAAACCACCGTAAAATTAGACAACGTCTGTGTAGGACATTGGAGGATCCCGTGAAGGGAATTCCTCACACCAGGGGGCTCTAACTAGATGGGGCTTGACCCCCACTCGAGGACGGGCTCCTAGGAGTTAACGTTTACCTAAGACCTCGGGATGAATAGGATTTAGTGTCGCAGAGAGGGCTGATGGGGGGAGACAGTCCCAATAGTGCAAAGAGCATGTGCAAAGGCCCTGAGGCAAGAAAGAGCCCATGCATTGGAGTGAAGGTGAGGGCAGCGTGGTGGAGGTTCAGTGCTAGGGGATGGTCCCGCAGGCTCGGTGCGCTCGGTCTGACCGGGTGACGTCCAGGGTTGGGCACGAGCATGACCGTCCCTTCCCAGGACCACATCCTTTGACACATCCCGCCACCCATCATCTCTCTTCCTCTGTTTACCTGTTCAGTTTCTGGCTGTGGCTCCGTGGCGGGAGCTGGGGGAGGGGGCACCACCCTGCAGAGACGCACCGCCAGAAAGCCGTGACGGGACAGGAGCCGCGTGGAGCGCGTTCCAGCGTGTCTTCTGTGCTGGAGTAGGCCTCCCTGAGGGGGTCCTCTCTTCCACGGACTCTGCTGTGATGCTTCAGCTTCTGGCCCAACCCCTCTACTTCCGGGTCCTGCTCTGGCCCCCGTGTCCCCCATGGCTCCCGGACGGTGGTCTGACGGCTCGCACGGCTGTCATTTTCTCTCCTGGGGCAGCTGGGCTGACGTCTGCCGCGCAGGGGCCACATCCTGCCAGGGGTGGACGTGATGGTGGCCTCGCTGAGCTCATAAGATCCAGGGTCGGGGGTCCATTATTTAAGACCCGGCTAAGAGGAGAGGCTAAGAGGTTCTGCGGGCCCCTCAGGTCTGTTTGTGGGTGTGACTGGTGTCCGTGGGTGCTGGCCGAGGAAAGCCAGGCCCGGAGCCCGGAGGTGTGCCGAGGCTCAGGGCAGGCGGTGGGGCCCGGCGAGGCCCAGGTGCCCGTCTCTCGTTCTCCCGGCCTGGCTGGTCCTCGTGTCCTCGTGCGGACGCCGGCTGCCTGTTCGTTCGCCTCACGCACGGCCCTCCTTTCGTTTCAGAGCATGGGCATCTGCTTCGTCGGTAAAAGAAATTTTGAAAATTTCATCCTTCAGGTGAGTGTTCTTTGACGCGTGAGTGTGGACCCGTGTTTCTGCTCTGGACTTGGATCCGTTAGTAAGGAAGTGCTTGTTTTCCAGTATCTGCAGCCTCGGCCTGGTAAATTTATTTCCATAGAAGACAATAGAGTTCTGGGAACACATAAAGGTGAGACACAGCCTCGGGCTGCCCTGTTGTAAACTCCCCGAGTCATGGGGCGGGCTTCCGCTGTGGGAAATTGAGGCGAGAAGCCTGTAATTCCTTCCACATCTGCCCGTGAGTCTGAGAAGCCTGTGGGTGGGGGTCGCGGGTGAGCGAGGGAGCGTGGTGGCGGCTGTGGCCGGGAGGCATTGCGGCTCAGAGAGGGGTGCCATCCGAGTCAGAAAGACTTCGCTCTCCGGTTAGGTGTTCTGTCCCTGCACGTGGAATTATCTGTATGAAAAGAAAACATTCCACCCTCGTGAAAGAAGTGTGATCGACTGATTCCAGAGTAGGAGCTTCCAGATCTAGAACAAGGAAGAGGTGGGATCAGAGGGTGTCCGCATAAGGCAGCGGTGTTGCACTTGGGGTGCTGCTTGCTCATGCGCAGGCGTTTTCAGGGGGGCACCGTGAGCTTGCACAGAGCGGGTGTGGGGAGGCTGCGACCGACTAATCAGGCGCCAGCATTCACAGCCCAGGGGGAGGGGGGATAGATGTTGGGTTGGTGAGTGGTGGGTCTGTGCCCTGGAGCCAGAGAAGCCCTCGGGCCCTGGATGGCCAGGTAGGTCTTGACCCAGAGCGTGCCTGACCTGGTGGGGGGCAAGGGCTGGTGCTCAGATGTGGCCAGTCTCACAGGTGGTTCTTTGGAATCCACCGCCCCAGTTTGGGTAGATGGCTTCACTCTCCTGTCGGGGGTGGGCTTTTACGTCCCCGAGCGGAGACAGGTGGAGGTGACAGCCTTGCTGGGGACAGAACTGCAGGGTGCTGCCTGCCCGTCTCCAGCACGGTGGCCCGGGGCACTGTGATCCCCTCAGGAGGGAGGGAGGGGGTGGTGGTTTGGCCATCTGGTCTTGTGATGTTTTTCCGTGGGGATGGAGGAGTGTACAGAGCAGTCGGGGGCGGCCCGGATGCCACAGCCCCCGTGCGGTTTGCACATCAGAGGGGCTGGTGGACGCTCGGCAGGAAGGGGTCGTGGGCCCGGAGGACGCCCAGTCTACCTTCTAAAGGAGCTTTCCTGCTGCTCGCGGGTCAGGCGGTCCAGCAGGTGGAATTGGCTCCTTCCGGGGCTGCGAGGTACAGCCTAACCCAGGCGCGGGGCAGGGCCTGGACGAGCTCAGCTGTGTGGTCAGGACTACCCCTCGGCGGTGGTCCGCGGAGCCTCCTGACTGTCCCCCTTCCTCCACCCCTTCCGGTTAGGAGGGGTGTGCTGTTTGGGAGGGGGCTGGTGCCAGTCCCCTGAGAAACTGTATTTCCGTAGGTTGGTTCCTGTATACTTTGGGCCAGAGAGCCAGGATAGGCGGCTTACGCGAGCCCTGGTATGTGGTGGAGAAGGACGGCACCAAGGGTGACGTGTTTGTGGTGAGTCGGGCTGGCCTTTTAGGCAGGTGACAGAGGTCTGTGTTTGGCACAGCCCACAGTGTGTGTGAGACCAGGCAGGGCTGCTGAAACCCTACGGAGCGGCAGTGATTGACGGACCACCCTTGCCTTTCCTCTGCGTCCTCCTGGGACTGGCCCAAGGTACCAGGAGTTTGTTTAAGGTACTCCTTGGGCTCTTACCATACGCCGGTTACTTTAGCAGTTGTGTCGTTAGCTGCTACGTGTAGATACTGTTTGTTAGGAGAGAGCCCGAAGGTCCACAGAGAGGAGGTAGCTTCAGTGCTTGGGACGGGGCTCGCCCAGGCTCCAGCAAGTCATTGGTCCAAGCGGAGCCAGGACCAGACCGGTTTGTGTGCCACAGCGGGGCCCCGGACCTCCGTGCCCCCCCCACCCCCCGTCCCTGGGCTCTAGAGCAGGGCTTCACAAAGGGGGTGCGTTTGCCCTGCACCCCGGGACGTTCGGCAGTGTCCCCTGCTGGATGGAGGCTGGGGCGCTGCTAACATCCTACAGGATAGCCCCTCCCCCCTGACAGTGGCCCTGCTCTGAGAGAGCGGGGTGCCATCTCATGCTGTCACATAACCGGGGGACCTTGTCTTAGACACCGGCCGAGAGGCCAGTTGTCTTCGCCACGATTCTGGGTATCTCCTTCCAGGAAGAGCTGTTAGGCATAGAAGCCGGGGCAGGGGTTGTGGTCGTGTATGAATTAAAGTGGTTTTAGAGTAAAATTTCAGTGGTCTGTTTTGCTTTTAGAAAAACCCATAGGGTCATCAGCTGACGTTTGTCCCCATGAGGATATCCTTGCCTGGGGGGGGGGGGGGGGGGGGTGGGGACAGGGCCCCAGGGGCAGATGGCCCCAGCACAGCCCCGGGGAGCCTGCCCTGTCCCTTCTCTCCTCAGCCGCTTGGTGTGTGACGGGCTTCCTGAGGTGACCTTTTTGAAAGACAAGCCAGTGGCCTGGCGGGCCCGTGCGCCAGGCAGGTGGGGGCAGCGAGGCGTGAACTTGCAGGCAGCGTGCTGTGGTCAGCCGCTCGCCGTGTGTGACCATGGCGAGACACTTTCCCTCCTGGGCCTTGGTTTCCTCCCGTGTGGAACGGGGACCGGAAGGCCATGGGCTGGTCCCGAGTCTCCGTGGCCGACGCCCCAGTTACCAGTAGGCGTGCGGTTGGGTGGGCGCCCCCGCCGGGGGCTTCGGTGCCCTGACCTGCACGCTCCGCTCCGCAGGCCCCCCGGACAGACCACCCGGCTCTGTACCGGGACCTGCTGCGGACCAGCCGCGTGCACTGGATCGCAGAGGAGCCGCCCGCCGCCCTGGTCCGCGACAAGATGATGGAGTGCCACTTCCGGTTCCGCCACCAGATGGCGCTAGGTGACTGAGCGGGAGGGTCCCTTCAGACAGGGGAGCCCAATTGAGAGCAGCGGCCGTGAGACCCGCTGCCCGACGGTCCCCCACCGTTAGGTTGGATGACCCCTTCCAAACCCCTGTTCAAGGGCCAGCCCTGGGAGCGGCACCGGGAGGCTCGAGGCCGGCTTAGCCTCCGTCGTCGGTGCCGCGGGCAGGGGCTGCGGCTGTGGCGGCCGGGCCCTAGGTGGTGCGTGCACCTGTGGGCCCCGGCGGGCGGGGCTCCTTCCTCCCTGGGGGTGCGAGGCCTGGGGCAGACCACGCGTGGAGAGGCTGGTGCCCCCTCTAAGGACCCCTCTCTTGTACACAGTGCCGTGCGTGCTGACCCTCAATCAAGACGGCACCGTGTGGGTGACGGCCGTGAAGGCCGTACGGGCCCTGGCCCCGGGACAGGTGAGTCGGGCACGCCCGGCCCTGTGCTGTGCTGCAGAGGGAGGAGGGAGAGCCCGGCTGGAAGGCAGGACGGGGCCTCACACGACCCCTGGGGGTGCAGGGCCTGGAGCCCCTGGGCGTTAGGACTGGCTCAGCTGAGAGGGCTCTGGCCAGTGGGCTTCGTGCTCCGGAAGGACGTGCCGCGCTTCCTCCCCACCAGGGCACCCAGTTCACGGGGTGGGGGCTGACGCGCGGAGCGGGTGTGGGTGCTCAGGTCACCCGGGCAGCGAGGGTGGAAGCCGCGGCCAGCCCCGCGCCCGGCATGCCTCCCCCAGGCACGACAGCAGTGAGGGCTGCTCCTGCTTGGCCACTGGGAGGCCCAGCTGCCCTGTCTTGGCCCGTGGGGGCGGGGACAGAGGAGGGGCAGGCAGAGCGTTGCCCCTCCCCCTCTCCCCCACCCCCGCACTGCTGGCTGCTTGTGGGCATCTGGCGCCAGGTCCCACTGCTGGTGACACGGGCCTCTTTCCTCTTCAGTTTGCCGTCTTCTACAAAGGGGATGAGTGTCTGGGCAGCGGGAAAATCCTGCGCTTGGGGCCGTCTGCCTACATACTCCAGAAGGGCAAGAGCAAGTCCAGGGTGTCCACCGAGGGCCCCAGCGATGGCCCGGGCAGCGGCCCAGGGTTGGATCCCACGCTCTGAAGGAGGCGCGGCTGCTGGCAAGCGCCAGGCGCGGACACGGAGGAACAGAGCCTGGGGTGGGGCAGCGAGGGGGAGCTTGGCGGGGTGTGCGGCCCCAGTTCCCTCCAGGCTGGCTGAGCTTCCAGAAAGCCGCCAGAGCCAAGGAGAGCCCCGGAGAGGCCAGCCCTGGCTTCTCCAAGTCGGCGCTCTGGCCAGAAAGACTTGCTGGCTAGTGGGTGTGTCCCAAGTGCCCCATTTCTAGAGTGGCTCTTTCATGCTCCCTGGAAAGTTTCCCACCTGCAGGCACGCAGGGGACCTGGCCGAGGAGGCTGCGGGGACAGCAGCAGTCAATAAAACATCTGTCTGGGACACGGATTCTGACGGGGGTCTCCTGGGGGGTGGAAGCCGCAAGTGCAGAGAGGCAGGCGGACAGTTCAGAGGCAGGAGGAGGGTTGGAGGCCTCGCTCCCTGCTCCCACCTCCCCGCTCCCACCGTGCCCTCCCTCCCCTGTGGCGGGGGGGGGGGGGGGGGGGGGGGGTGGACTTGAGCCAAGCCCCACCTGCAAGGGTGCCCTCGGGGTGTGTGAGGGCCTGAGGCCCAGAGGCCCCCCTCCCCCTGCAGAATGCTCGGTGCCCTGGCTGCCTCCCAGGGAAGGCCTGAGGGGCCTGCGTCCCAGGGAGGAGGGCTTGGCCGCAGCCAGCGTGTGCCTGTGTGTCTCCGTCTGTGTGGGCTGCTGGCACCGGCCATCTCGGGTGGGGCTGCTTACAAACGACATGTTTGCTCCTCGCGGTTGCAGAGACCGGAAGTCCGAGGTCAGGGTGCCAGCGGGGTCGGCCGAGCCTCCCCTGAAGGTTCACAGCCGACCGCTCGCTGTGTCCTCACGCGGCCAAAGGGTGAGGGGTCTTTCTGGGGCTTCTTACAGGAACACTAACCCCGTTCGCCAGGAATCCACCCTCGTGACCTAAGTGCCTTCCGAAGGCCTCATCTCTTAATACTGTTACGTTGGGGATTCAGGGTTTCGACATTCCGGTTTTGGCGGGGGCACACTCAACTCAGCCCGTAGCATAGGTGTGCGTGCGTGCGTGTATTTTGTGGCACAGGCCAGGCCGAGAACTGCCTGGCAAGTGAGGATAAAAACTTCAGAGCCAGCTGTGCTGAGTGGGCGACAGACACGCGTTGGCCCCGGGGCATTTTCATCACCGCAGAGTCCTGGAGAGCCCCTTGCCTGCTGTGTGTGCAGTAAGGGCTCCTTTGGGCCACAGCCCCAGGCCTTGGGGGTGGGAAGTATGGAGACGCTCTGCCTGGGGGTGTGGGGGCGTCGTCAGGTGGGTCAGGCAGGAAATCGGCCTTTCCTAGGGACACCCGGCCGTGTCTGGGCCCCACTGCCTCCAGCTTGCCTGCCCTGAAGGTGGGGCCTGGGCAGGGCAGCACCCCCTCCAGGCTTCCTGGTGCTTCGCCCCAAGGGCTCAGCCCCCTGCTCTGCTATGGACAGAGAGCCTGGGCTCCCTTCTCTCACTGGCCTCAGACCCAGCACATTCTTGGTGCTTTGAGCTTCTGTGGGGGCCAGAAGTGTGGTTCCCTGTCTTCTATGGACAGAAGGTTCTAGACTAGAGGTAGCATAGCCCTCCAGGCATGGTGCTGCAGGAGAAGCACCCGGGAAGGTTGTCACGTGGCCCCTCCCTTCAGGGCCTGTAGTGGGGACAGGACCAGTCCTGGGCCTGGGTCCCAGGGGTGTGAACCCCCTCCCCCTGAGGCAGATCACAGGCCCCAGAGGACTACCGTGAGAAGTGGGCTTCCTTCTGAACGGGAGGGAGGCCTAGGTGGTTTTGAGCAGAAAATCCCTCTGGTCTCTGAGGTATGGGTGGGAGCGAATAGATCAGGTGGGTTGTAGGCCTGGAGAAGGAGGCAGGCCGTTGGATTTAGGAAGTCAGGTGTAGCTGGTCAGGAGTGGGGGCGGACGACTGAGACCTGTGTCTGGACGGGGTCCCGCTGCCCTCGGTTCTCCGTGTGCGTCAGGACGACTGTGCTTCAGAGCAGAGGGTCCGCCGTCCCGTGTAGCCGGGAAGGGAGGCCTGGGCCAGGCACCCCGCTCGGCGCCTGCCTCAGCCTCGGTGTGGGGGCTGCAGCCTGCAGGGAGGCCGGCCTCTGGCCTGACCCCATGTCCCTGCCAGCCTGGGCAAAGGGCACGGAGTGCGCTGGGCCCTGTGGCTGGCTTAGTGTGACGCAGTGTTGGGGGGCTTTAAGACCAGGCCGCTGAGTGGGGCTGGGAGCGAGGTGCCAGCCCCTTTTCCCAGAGGCAGGACCACAGTGGTCCCCCTCGGTGATGGTCGGGGTGCTGGGGCTGTGCCCAGAGCAGTTTTCCCTCCACACCACCTGATGAGGGAAGCGATGCCGTCCAAAGAGCTGAAACCCCACTGTCCCGCCTCCTCAGACCTGCCCCCGCCTCAGTCTGCCCTCTCCCCACCCTTAGCTCCGGGCCCATCCCCCAGGTTCCCCTCCAGCAGGAGGCTCCCGAGGCTGAAAGAGGGGAGTGGGCCTTCCCCGGGGTGTCTGGGACCCATCCCGTGATCCAGGTAAAGGAGTGCGTCCCGAGAGGTGGGGCTTCGGCCTCGGCCAGAAGGCGGACCGCCGCTGGGTGTGCGGTGCGGTGTGCGGTGGCGGGGAGGCCGGAACCGGAACCCCTCCCTTGTTCTGCCTGCTCAGGGGACAGCACGGAGCCTGCCCGGGCCCACGTGTCCCCTGATTCACTGCCCTGCTGGCTGGGCCTCTTGCCCATGAGCCCAGCTGTAAGCTGTGGCCGCTCTGGGAAGGCCCCACCGGCCCACCCTGCTCTGTGCAAGGCGACCCTTGGAAACGGCAGGAGGGAGGAAGCGCCCTGGGCCCAGGCCGCAGGGAGGCGCTGCCCGTCTCATCAGCCCGGGGCCAGATCTGCAGCCTGCCGGCCGCCGGTGGAGGAAGGTGGGGGACGGGCGCAAACCCGCCGCTGCCGCTCGGGCCACCCAGGCCTCACCTGAGGCGCATGGCAGCCTTCCAGCTGGCAGTGCTTTCCTCCCCCTGCTGGGCTCTGCCCGCCCTCCCTGTGCCCTTGAGGCCACCGGCCCTCTGTGGAAGGCCACTTTGTGTCGCCTCAGAGATTCAGCGGCAGCTGTCGGCCAGGGGGCGCCATCGGGCCAAGCTCCTGAGCTGGGACTCTGGCCCCTCCCACTGCCCTGTCCGCACACCTGGGGGTCAGCAGGCTCTAGGGCTGTACCCCCCAGGTGACCTTCAGAAGACCCTGGCAGACCAGAGGGGTGGGGGCTGAGAAGCAGGACACGTGTTCCCCCCCTGTGCCTCTTTCCCAAGTGGGCGCCTCACTGCCGGGCCCGTCACCCCCACCACGTGCACGGATCCTGAGGGAAAGGCCCCGGGCTGGTGCCTTTGCACACCCAAGTAGGGCCAGCTTGTCCAGAGTTCTATCAGGAGAATGGACAGAAAGTTCTAGTACAGCTCCTCTCCCCCACCATTCCCCTGGCTTGTCCTCGGCATCCTGTCCAAGGTCCCTTCCACAGCTGCGTCAGGAAGGGGGGCAGGGCAGTGGGGAGGGGGGAGATGAGCACGGCAGAAGCACATGTTCAAAAATCTTAATTTATTGCAGACTCTTGTTGCGATTCCAGTGTTCTGAACAATAAATAGACATTTGTTAAAAAAATCTCCAGTGTCTCATCTCTTATAAAGTCTTAAGTCACAAAAATAGGTTTACAGTTTTTCCTGTCTTAATAAAACTTGACCATTGGTTTTTGGTAACAATTCTGATCAAATCAAAAACCACCTGAAAGGGCCCGAGTCGCAGAAGAGGCCGTGATGGTGTGAAGGTGGGTGTTCAGACTCGCGAATGTCAAAACGTCCTTTACGTAGGAAGCGTCTCGTCGGTGGTAAACACTTACTGATGCTATCATTTTCCGTCTTCAAAAGGCCACTCACCTGTTAAGGCACATCATTCATTCCAGCCTATGGACCGTGGGGGCTGTTTCCCTTGGGTGTGAAGTGCGTGGCCTTAGACTGGTCTCACGTACGCGGTCCCTGGTGTCGCGAGCAGCGCCCTCCTTTCCGTCAGAATACTGCGCCGTGGAAGTCACCTGATGTTAGCATATCTTACGGTTTCTCGTATTTGGAAGCAGCTGTGCTAGTAATTTATTTGGGCGCCTGATTCAAAGAACAAAGAAAACGAATGAAACGTGTCTGAGTGATTCTGGGCCCAGTTCCACAGCCCTTGGGCCGCACTGTGCCAACTGCCCACAGTGGGACGGCCCCAGCCGATCCTCGGTATGAGCTTCCAAAAAACAGCCTGGTAACCATTGACAAGTGTGGCTGCGGCTTTGTCCCTGTGCACAATTGGCCATTTGAAGCAAAATGAAGCAATTGGTCGGACTCGGGGGTGGGGCCCCAGCCCTCCCGCAGATCCTCAGAGTCTAAAAGAGCTGGAGAATTGGCAGGAAGGAACGTGGCCTCCTGGAAGACCTCACACCTCCGTCTGAATCGGGAACGTGTGAACACCGAGGTCCCACTGGGGACAGGAGCAGCGGAACAGAAGTCCCCACCTGCAGGACCACATGGCCTGGGAAGGGGGCCAGGGAGGCCTGCAGGGCCCAGAGCGGGCCCGGTGTGGGCACCGGGGGTGGGGGGCAGCCGTGGGGCACCTGCAGGAGTCCCACCCTGCCTCTGTCTCGGATCCACCACCGTCAAGGCAGCTGGGAGCTGATGGCAAACGTCTCGAAAGCAAACGTGTGTGAATTCAGGCAGCTGCGTGTAATGCCCACAGTCCTTGTGTACTGGCCGAAAGCAGCAGCAGGAGCCTCTGTTTAAAGACAACCTCACTCCCGACGCACTTCCCACCTCCGATCGGCTGGGACACCAGCTGCATCGATGCGTGCCAGATTCAAGTACAACCGTACAATCTCCCTTGTGTAAAAAAAATAGCGGTCGTTCTGCAGATCTCTCAGTATCAATCTGTACAAATGCAAAATATACACAGGCTTTCGCCTTCTCAGAGTTCCATACAAATATACAGAAGCATCTACACCTTTTCAACGAAGCAAAGTCCTTTGCTTTAAGACGAGGGGTGTCTTTGCAAAGAGCCAGCCAGGCCAGGCAGCTCCTCTCCCTCGAGGCCAGCTCTTGCCTGGGCCCTCTCCTGGCTCGCGGGCGCACGGCTTCGGCTTTGGGTCTGGATCAAGCTGTGCCAGCCTCCGGGAGTCCACGCCTCCTTGTGCCTGTGGCCTTTGGCACTTGTCAGGGTTCAGCTGGGCCCTGAGCCCCGAGCCCCTGGGGGCAGCCCAGAGCTTTGTGTCCAGACCGTCCATCACACCAGCCAGGGGGCTGCTGCCACAGGGACCCCCACCGCCAGGGCCTGCTTCCCTGGAAAGGCCATGGTCCCTTGGGCTCCAAGGTCCAAGGGTGTCTTGACGCAGCACAGGGGCCTGGACGGAGGCGCTGGGCTCGTGTCCCGCTTTCCTGATGGTTCAGATTGAGGTTTCGTTGCTGCCTCTGTACGTGGGAAGAAGTCAGCAGGTGGGCCGAGGTCCCACAGGGGGCAGGAAGCAGAAATCCCCAGTCAGGGGACAGGGGATGCCCGGGGGCTCCGAGGAGGGCAAGCTCCTATGTGGACACAGCTGCGCTAGGCAGGAGAGGGGGCGGGTTGAGCTGCCCGGAGGGCCAGGCCCGTCTGAGCATCCACACAGCCAGCCTCGCCGCGGAGCGTGGGGTGTCAAGGTTAGCAACCGAACTCTGTTTTAAGAGAGCCATTCTAGAGGACCTGGCTCCCGGTCTTTGCTCCTCCCTTGGGAGTCTGTGGGAGGGAGCAGCTATGGGAAGAGGCCAAGATCCCAGCTCCTCGCCTCTGCGGAGGGGCGCCCCAGAGCCTTGGCGTCCTCGACCACAAAACAGGGCAGTAACGAGCTGGACAAGATCCTTACAAAGTGCTTGGTCCGGCACGGTCTGAAGTCCTGGAAGTTCAGGGCTGGGCAGGCCCTGGGGGCTTTGGCCACTGTGGCCCCCACAGGGCCTCAATGTCGGCAGCCAGCCCCCGCCCCCTCCACCAGGTCAGAAGTCCGCTTCCTTTGGGGCCGACTTGTCCTGACCCCCGCAGAGGGCCCTCCCCTCCCCGGTACCCCGGCGCAGCCCCTGGGCCCCTGAGCATCGCTCCTCTCTGGACTGGACACCTGTCCCGCGACACGGGACAGAGGGAAGGCTGGCTGGGGGCTGCTCCTGCAGCCCTGCAGCCCTGCAGCCCCGCAGCCGAGGCCCAGGCTACTCACTCGGAGTCGGAGCCGGCGGCCTGGGCGCTCCCGGCCCGCACGTTCATGGCCACCCCGTTGAGGTGCTCCCGCCCCGGCTCCCGGCGCGGGCTCTTGACGGTGATGGCGCCGTCGGGGGCGCGGGCCCCGTCGCTCGAGCCCAGGGAGGACGAACGCGATGGCGCGGGGCTCTGCTCGCACTCGGCCAGCTTCTCCCGGAGCCGGGACTTCAGGCTCTTCTCGGTCAGCGGCGG